TGGATCCATTTTTCATCACCAGTGCCTATACGATGCAAAACAATCCCATTCGTTTATGCCTGGCAAGCAGCATTTCATGTGTAAAAAATCGGCATGTAATGTTTCTCAGTTTCAGTTCATAAAGGACCCAGTTTCTTTGCTTTTGAATCATTCCTTATTTATCATTTTAAATGATGTGGAATTGTTTGTTGTGTCACTTGTAAGTGCTGTTTTACTTGCGTTTGGCACAAATCTTCGTTTAAATTGCCTTCAGTTCTCAAATCAATGCCCCTATTGAAAAAGCTTTTAAATTCTCTTAAAATTTCATAAACACAGAAGGATGCACTCTGTCACTTAATTATTCATAACATCAATTTTAATAACAAGTCATTTGTTTCAAATCTTTACTAAAAGGAAAGAGAGACCATACATGAAATTCATTCTGATCCTAACATGATAATATCCAAACCTGATAAGAGTGGAAAAAAATCGTTGCTATGGAGAAACAGACATACACTGATGGTGTCATGAAACTGATAAGTGAATGCCCATACAGCTTGATCCCAGAGATCCTTCAACTTCTGGCCTTGCAAAAATTAAAACAGCTCTTAAATCTTCTCACATACTTCGAACTCAGTTTAAAAATTCACTTACTCTACCTCTTGCTAACTGGGCTAGGTTTTATGCTGTCCTAAAATCTACAAAATCAGAATTTCTTTTCAAGCAGTAGTTTCCAACTTAGCAGCAGCCCACCAGCGGCCGAGCGGTAAAGACGCTGAACACTGGTAGTTCGGTCCGAGGTTCGAATCCCGCGAACGGGCTGGCTGCATGGGCGTTTTCGTGGTTTTCCCCATGTGTAACATGTATACGAGCCAGTTTCCTTAGAAAGGCATCCCTCCCTTTAGGCAGATAGCCCTCGTGTGCTTTGCCATAATTAAATACACACCAACTTAGCAGCGGCATCATATGCTTAGTATTTAGTTCCTATATTTTGTCATTTATTTCCCGACAGTATTCATACTGTAAAAATTCGTTTGATGTCATCAATAAATATAAAGATATCTCCCCTGCACTCTATTATGGCTTCTTTTGATGTTAAATCAGCGTATGCTAATGTTTCAGTCAGAGTTCTAAAATGCCTTGAAACTAGGCTTCGAGAATTCTGTTTCACATGCACTGAAATTAAAGAAATAATTTCTCTTACTAAAGTCTCTGTGATTCACTCTGTTTTTAAAAATGAGTATTGTAGCCAAATTGAAGGATTAGGTATGGGTAATTCTCTCACTTCTGTATTTGCTGACATTTACATGCACTATTTTGAAGTCAAATTATTTAAGAAACAATCTGTTCATCTGTGGATTCGCTACGTTGATGATGCTTTCACACATTTTGATAGTAATAAAGAAGATGTAGTCCAGATTTTACCTGCTGTAAATTAGATTGATCCAACCATCCAATCCATTTTTGAAACAATCTGATGAAACCCTTCCTTTCCTTGATATTTTTATAATCCGTAACGAATCTGATTTCAGCACTATTGTTCATTGCAAACCCTTTTTCTGTCTTATTTGCTGCCCCATACTAAGTCATGTCACCTGGCTAAACAAAAGATGACTATGTATTTCCTTTTTTTACTATGTATTCCTATTTTGACTATGTATTTCATTTCATTATTTATAATGTGAAATACTATAAATGTATTTCGCACTTTCAAAGTTTGTTCCCAAGTACCTTTGCATGCTAATGAACGCAAGTATTTGAAATCAGTTGCCATTGACTGAGGATTTTCTCCTGTGGTCGTTGATGAGGCTTTAAAAAAATTTTCCACTTGTCATCAAAGATGACATTCCACTATTAGAAATAAATGATCTTGTGTTTTCATTTAAAACCTCTGTCGGTTATAAAATTGCATGGATTCTTCAGACGTTCAATTTTCATGTCATTTTCTCGCCTATCAATAAAATCCATGGGTCATTTCCTAAAGATTCCATTTCTGACTTTATTCTTAGGTAATTAATAGCGTATCTTGTCAGTGTGATTTTAGATACAGTGGGCCAAACCAAAAGAGCTCTAAAGCATTGCTTGAAGGAACATGAATCTTTGGTCTGAAAAGGCGAAATTAACAAGTCTTTGATAGCTAATCATAGTTGTAAGTTTAATCACAAGTTTGACTTTGGGTTTGCAAAAATTATCCAAAACGCCTCTTCCATTCGTGAATTTGATTTTCTTACAGCTTTTCACATTCACAAAGATTTATTTTATTTAATTAATGATGTTAATTCTAATCTAGTCCATCTTATGAGGGTTAATTATCATCAAACAGTTTAGTTAATTATTGGTTTAGTTTGATTTATTTGATTAGAGCAGGGATTGTGACTGCTCTCTACCGAAGGGAAGAATGCCTTCATGGTGGACTTTGTAAGAGAAATTGGCTCATATTTACATTGCACATGTAGAAAACTGTGAAAACACATATGTAGCCTGCCTATTTTTCTGAAATCGAACCCAGGTCGACCTTTTACTGTTCAGCAACTTAACTGCAAAGCCACTGGTGGTCTTTTGCCAGTTAAGGCCTGTTTCCATTAGTGCATTGCGAACGTGTAGCGTCATTGGGAGAAACACGTATGCAGACAGAAGACCATTTACACTATTGCGTTGGATTTACGCATACGGAAGTTCAGTGGTCGATTGCATTTATCGCCACCGGATATCTTTGTATCTCTGTACGGGATTTGGATTCTTAAGATATTTAAATTCCAGGTTATTGGAAATTTTTATTTCTGCTTATGAACTGTGAAAGTAAAATACGCTAGCAATTTTTAGATAAGTAAGGTTATAATGCATATTATATTATGAGCATCACTAATTGCATAGAAACTGAAGTAAATTTTAAAAAATTCTTTGCGTTTCTGGAAGCTATAATATTAATGAAATAATATGTATATTATTAAAACTAAAATGTACTGTTACTAAAAAATAAACAAATAAATAAATGAAATAAAAATGTTCAACGAATTAAAAAATAGTTGGTACTTTAAAAGTACTGAGCAACTGTAAAGAAAGGTTCACAATATTTACACAAAATTTGCTATGCTTGTAATACTGCTGACTGCCATGTGAGATTATATATTAATAAAATATGCCCAAATTTGGGGAGAAAGCAGGTAATGTATAAAATTTTAGCATCGATTTCTTCATTTTTAATTTCTTCAGGGTCATAGCTGGATAATTTATTAGAAATCACGTTTGTTTTAAAATGCACTATGTGCAGTTATATTTTATACATAATCCATAAAATATTTTTAATTCATATCTCTTTTAGAAAAAATTATGAAAATAAGCTTTCCTCTTTATATATATATATATATATATATATATATATATATATATACACCACACACACACATTAGGTAAAGAAAATGGAAATGTTTAATTAATTAATTCCTGCGCTTCTGCTGGAGAGGACTGAATTTAAAAGCAATTGTTATAGTGAGTTTTTTTTAAAAAATGTTTAGGGCATTAATATTGTCTCATGTTAATTGGTAGTGAAAGTTTAGAGCTGGAAACATCCCAAAGTTTGAGCACATGTATGTACATTCTCATAAAAGTGAAACGGAAAAAATATATATATATGTACAGGGAGCATGCTTTAAATTGGTATTATATAATTTTCAAAATTTTGTGCGGGGAAAATTAAATAAATAACAGCATAAATAAAACATTATATTTAATGCATATAATAATAGAAATAAATTATAACACACAAATATAGATGAAATTCAAGCAAGAAGCTAAGAAAGTTGCAGACAAGGTGGGAAAAGCCTATGAGATTCGAACTCATGACCCGAAAAGTTAAATCACGTTACCGTCAACTTTACCATTAAGCTATCATCACATGAGTACGGTATGCAATTTCGGCTTATATACATCATCAAGTAAATGAATAATTAAAACTAATTTTTTGGTTTTAATTATTCATTGATTTCAGTGTGCTATTTCAGTGTGCTATCATCTAAAAAATTCACCTATCATCTAAAAAATTCACCAGAGTTTGTTCTTCAGCTTCTAGGACGTTTCTTACAGAAAATATTATCTTTTAAAGTGGTGTTCCGATTGAAGTTAAACAGGCTGCTAAAAATATATTCCATGTTCTTACAAACGTATATTAGCCAAAAAGGTATATTTATGAATAAAGAAATGCAAATTTAACATACTCTTTAATGCAGTTTAATTTTTAAAAAGCTATCAAATTTAATTTATAATTAACATTTTTAGTTTTTACCTGCTTCAAAAGAAAAAATAACTAATCTTTTAATGCCATATCTGATTTGCTATAGCAGTTTGATATAGTCAGAGGTTTATTTTCATTAAAGGTAAATAAATATGTATATAGAACTAGGAAATAATTGTCAGGACAAATTTTCTATTTCATGGACTTGGAATTATAATTTTTGCACCTGATTTTCATGAACTGAATTTCTTGAACGCCTGATTTTCTATGCAAACTAGTACTGTAGTTGCAGTTATCTTATTTTTCTTATATATATATTTTTTTTAACTAAAAGCTGATTGCTGTCTTTTTCAGCACACAGATTTCTTGCTATAATGTTAATTCAGAAAAAAGTATTTTTTAGCAAAACATTCTTTCCCTAAGCCAGTGTTCATCGCTACTTCTGCCACCATTAATTTTTGTTGACAACACCTAATTGCTCCTTTTTTACCACACGACCCCAACGCATCCACAGACATACAGATAGATCAAAATGAATTTGCACGCTGATTGGAGAAACGCATACACACTGCAATGCATACGCAGCAGTGAAAACGGGCCTTTATTCTTGCTGTTCAAAATCCTACATGCAGTGAGTTGCCTGCAGCCATCCTGGTTCCTTCTTTCTCACGTAGGCAGCCTCGTTTTAATAATTTTGTCATGTTTATTAAGAAACACTAGTGCAGATGCTATTTTAATTTTGAACTTTTTTATTTTATTTCTAAAGATGATTAAATGAATTCTGTTTTAGTTCCACCTGAACCAAGTATCACAGATGTGTGTAATTATCCTGGTGAATGTGGATGTTGGCTATGTATTGAGTGTGACCGACCTACAGATTCTACAAAAGAGGTGAAAACACAGGAGTGTGATTCAATCCATAAATCATCAAAGTCATTGATAAAGTCATGGACCTGGGATCCTGAATTAGGTATGTTCGTAGGAGTTAGTGAAATGTTGTTTAGTGTATTGTTGAGTTTTATGTAATCTCTCAGTATTTCGAATAATAAACTTTTTTATTTCATTCTTTTCATTCGAAGTGAATGAAAGCGTGATTGAAGTAACTGTGAATGCATATGATTTCCCCTAATTTATCTTTAATGTTACTTTATGAGCTTTAATGTAGTTTATGGGATGAGCTTCAGTATAATTTTCTTTCTTTCTTTCTTTTTTTTCTTTTTTTTTTTTTTTTGCTAATTGCACTAAAGATTAAAATTAGGTATGCATGACACAGTAGTGTATAAGTGTATATGTATGTGTAAATGCCTACAGTTGACTTTAATGAATAGGCTGCCTTTTCTTTAGAATAAATCTTAACAAATTCTATTTGATAAAATCCCCTTGGTTTTCTTCTATTCCTTGGGTAATGTACTTTTTTAATTGACACTTCAGCTAGCGTGACAAAATAGCACGCTTTGATTTGGCAAATTAAACGCTTCAAAATTTAATTTCAATGCCTTGATATTTATCTGTACATAATTGACATTTTTATCATATTAATGAATTGAAAAAATCTTTCTAAACTTTCATTTCAAAAATTTTAATTTTTTTTTTATCACGGAATGATAATGATACTTTGAAGCTGAACATGTGTTTTTGAGGATGCTGAGGAATATTAATATCTTATTACTTATGCAGGAAGTCATTTGTTGTATCTTTGCTTTTAGGAATGCTGTTTCATATTTGTATTTTCCAGAAACTTTTATCTCTGATTTTGTGGCATTATGCGTGATTCTCTATTTCCAGTTCATGGGTATAAATATGATTTTGTCGGTGGATGTCATGAAATTACTTGTCTTAAAATCCAATAGTGTATTTGTAAATGTGTTTCTATTACTGGGTGTCATTCAACTGTGATTCAGTATGCAGTATATGAGTTCGAGCCAAAAAATGTGGATAACGTTTTTTGGCTCGAACTATTAACATTTTTCGATAAAATTTTTTGGCCAAAGGGAGAAGGATAACAAAGTATGTACTTTCCAGCGGCATATGGAAATTTTGGGCCCTTAGGCAAACATAAATTAAGTATGCGTATGTGTGTGTGTTTATATACCCTTCATACATTTAAATGTTAAATTAGCATAGATAATTATGACTTGAAAACCCATTTTAGTTAAATAATTAAGGTTGTGTAATGTTTTTTAGCAATTCAAGACTATAATAATAATGAGCAGAATATGCAGTGCGTCCATAAAGTCATGATGCACTTTTAATCGGTCATAGGAAAGCAATAAAACATGATAGAAATGTGAAATCTTCACCAAACAAAAGGAAAACTCTCCAAGTTTCCGTAATATGATGTGCAAGCGTGTGCACACACAGGTGATGGCGCTACAACGTGAATTGCGAAGCAGCAAGTCACCCCACCCACTTCCATGTCACTCGAGATGTCGACCATACAGAGAAGTTCAGTGTGTTCTGTTTGAAAATTCGAATGACCAAAATGCAATGTGAATATCGCTGTGTGTACAAAGAACTGCGACCACATAGGAATAACATTAATGGATGGAATAAGCAGTTGAAGGATACTGGCAGTTTGTTGAATAAACCACGTTCTGGCAGGCCCATTGGTCAGTGACAAGTCTTTAGAGGCTGTTGTGAGAGTTACCTTAAGAAGCCCTAAACCCAGTGCATGTGTGTGCTCGATAATTACACGTAATCAAGACAGCAGTTTACAAGGCGTTAAAGAAACGTCTACGTTTAATGGGTTACAAACTGCAGCTATTGCATGCTATCAAACCGACGCATAGACCCCAAACGATTTGTGTTTGCTATAGATATGCTTCATGAGGACAACGATAATCAATTTCTGTAGAAGATTGTGTTTAGTGTTGAGGCAACATTCCATGTTAGTGGACATGTTCATCACCATAATGTCCAAATATAGGCTGCTGAAAATTCTCATGCCTACGTAGAGTACTAAGATAACAGCTCTAAAGTGAACGTGTGGTGTGGCCTGATGCATGATGTAGTCATAGGACCATTTTTCTTTGCAGAGCAGACTGTAATGTCAGATATCTATCTTGACACATCTGAATTGTATGCAGTGCCACAATTTCCAGAAGGTGTCATCTTTCAACATGACGGTGCTCCTCCACACTACGGCAACATTGTTCGGGAATTTCTGGACACAACATTCTTCCAGTGATGGATAGGAAGGGGTTCTGTCAAGCCATGGAAACCGCAATCCCTGGATCTGACACACTTGAATTTTTACTTATGGGATTATGTGGAGCAACATGTGTACAGGGAACATATCAATGACATTAATCATTTAAAACAGAGAATCACAGACATTGTTCACTCTGTTTGTTACACAAGATCTCCTTAACCGTGTGTGGGAAGAACTTGAATATTGTTTAAATGCTTTTAGGGCAACAAATGGAGCTCACATCGAACTGCACTGAATAGGTATGAAACTTTAAGAGGTTTTTCTTTTGCTTTGTGAAGCTATCACATTTCTATTTTGTTTTGTTGCTTTCCTGCGATCGATCAAAACTGCACCATGACTTTACGGATGCACTGTATTAATAACAAAACCACACATAAACGATATTAATAAATGTAGTGAACTAAGAACAAGAAAAAAGTACTAGTCAAGTTAAATGTGCAATAAAAAAGGTATTTATGAAGTACATTATCATTTATTTGCTTTTGTTGAGGCAAAAGAAACTTTTATGTTCCCAATCTTTACTTGTCTTTTCAAGAATGGCAAGAAACAAAAGGTGGTTTAATTGTCTTTATTCAGTTGTATTTCTTCTGCCACCTTTAATGAGTTTTAGCTATGAAAGTCATCTTTCTACTATTGCATCACTTGCAGGAATAATTAAAGTACAGAAGTCATTTTTCAACTTCCCAAATTCTTGAATGTTCATATTTTCATTAAGGGTATTTTTACTCGATTGAATACATTTATAAATTGTAAAGTTAATTCTGATGACAGTATTTCAGAATAAATAAATATCAACTAAACTGTCAGATTTTTATATTAACTCAGTTTCCTTAGTATGGATTATATAACAAGGTTCCATGAAACCAAATGATTCTCTCATATTATGCCACTAAATTGGTAATTTATTTGTACTGAAATGTCTAAAATACAGTCACACTAAAATATTTTTCACAGGCTTGATATTTGTGATGCGTTAAAAAGTCATCAAAATAACATTTTATCTTATTTTGTTTCTTGATTAGAAATTCTGAAATAATATTCCATTTTTCAGCAATTGGTTTCGATTCTGCTAAAATAAGTCAAATATATTTCCCAGTTGCCTGAGAAGAATGAACACTTATAGCATCACATTTTTTCACAAAATAGTTTGTGTTACAACACAATAGACATCGTTTTCCCTTAATTAATTTATCCCTTTTTGTTGCACAGTCATATTTTCACATTAGTCTTACGGAGACCTTGCCCGCAGAGTAAATAAACTTTCAAAGTTTTATAAAATTATTTTGTGTTGATTCAAATGAAAATTATTCTCTTGCACTGATAGCATTATGTAAATATTTCACGAATTCCTGTAAATCATGACAATTATTTCTATTTTGCTTAGAAAATTCAAGAGCCAAGTCTCTTGGCATATTTTTCAATATTATGTTAGTCAGTATTGTTGTATATGTTTCTGATTTGACATTCAGTTCCTCTAAACATCTAATTTGAGTTTGGGTTTCAAAATAAAGGTTCCGAAGAGCTTGAATTTTGGAAGAATTTTTAACAGGAGTGAGATTTAATAAATTTGGCAAGTGAGCATTTATTAAAATGTCTCTCTGTACAAATGTTCCAGAATTTAATTTAACAGCCTGTTTATAGTTTTATGGAGTAACTGAGTATCCTTTAATACTAGCAAGGGCACTACCACTTAATAACAACATTAAATAGCAAAATCTTTCTACCTCAATTCAATTAGAATTATTATTATACAGAGAATTCTTGATCTGATTCAAAAAATTCTGAAAACTCTTCATAGAATTGAGGAAGCAAAAGTTTAGGAAGTTTAGTTCTTTTTTCTTAGTTATGTTTTCTACATGAAAATTTTCTGGGTTTAATGTGTGTTCACCTGACTGATATGGAACTTTTTGAATCAATTTAATTTTGTTTTGCAACTTAAATTTAACTGGTATATATGTATTTTTTGTAATATTCATCTACAGTGTTAATTTCATCCTTAATTTTGCTTTCTTTCTTCAACAATTCATTAATATCATTATTTAGTATGTTAAAAATTTTGATTTTACTATTAAACTGTTCTAAATATGAATCAGATACATGTATGTCAATATCTGATTCATTCGAATATTTGTATATTTTTTCTAACAATTTAGCCATTTTAACAATTTCTAGCAACAAATTTTACTCTTTAAATACTTTAACAATAAATTCTAATTCTGAAATTCGGGCAAAACAAATCGTTCAACAACATATCAAACTTAAAAATTAACAACGAATTCTAATTCCATGAAAACAAAAATTCTTGCTTGCAAATAAATTCAAACCTTCTAAATATCAATGCAAACATTCAGTAAATATGAAAATTTCAAATTTTACCAAAACAAGATCGACTTTAAACAAATTTACTACTACAACAATTACAAAATATTCTGTTCAGACAAATTTTCAACAAAACTATTTACTCACCTAACCATGCATTTACCATGTGCCTAATCATGTCACCACATAATACGAATTTTGAAAGGCAAATGCGACACTTGATGATTCTAATACGAAAGCCACCCTGGCTTCGGATACTTGATATTGGTGGTTATTTGATCTTGATTTGGTAGACAAAATTGATGACTACATTGTTCTTTTATACTTTAATGAAAAACACCAAAAAGATATATCACAGTAATACAGCTACAGTGCAGCAGTGGACCAACAGTTACATAACATAAAATACATAGACTATTTTCTTTCTGTGCAACAGTGCC